TTCACAAGCACAATTGCACCTCATGCCGACATCCTTTTCCAAAGACAGTCAGCAGCGTCTTTCGTCAAAACTGGAAGATCAATCCCCTTTCAACTGTTAACATCGAAAATATTTCTTCATGGTGTGATCTGCATATGGAAACCTTGCAGGAAAAGAATTAATGTCAATTGTCAGCTCTTCAAATTTCTTTGGACTTTAACTAGCAGTACCATATCCAGTTTGCTTTGATATTTTGTTTTTTATTCCATGTTGAAGTTGAACACCAAGCTCCAGATATAGCAGGCAGCTTGATCATCTTCGGCCTTGGTATAATATCAGTCCAAGTTCCAGTGGTGGGTATCTTCTAATATTCAAATTAAAATGAAAAGCAATAGGCTTTCTCAGCGCCGACGACGGATTTCACGTTGATAAAAAAGGGAGCTCAAGGTCAGCAAAACTCGGGTTCAAGGAATGGCGGGCGTTGAAATGACTGCTGACGTCATCCAAAAAACCGCTAATGGTTAAGAGATAGGGACTACGCTGGTCCCACCCTGCAAGTAAAGGGAAGAAATTTCTTGAACACCATAATGCTGCGGGGGTTGCGACCAGAATAAATGGTGGTTTCTGAGCCTGGCCGCAAACTTGGCTATCTCAACTCAAAACTAATGTTAAGGTGGGATGGTCCCTTTAAAGGCCTTGCGACACAGCATGCTTTCAGGCGCTGGACTTCGCTGCCATCTCTTGGCAGCTTGACGCTCTAATGCCGCTTGTGCCTGCCAGGCGTTCGGGTCTATCGGATGGGAACTGGAAGATTGTGTTTGTCAGGGTGTGCTAGCGTTTTCGAACAAAAACAACAAAGCGTTATGGGCTTTATGTAAGCACCATCACAATACGCAGACACTTCACGGGACTGTGTGCTAGACATGCGCACCGATCGAAACGTTGTTCTGTAAGCTCAGTGGATTTAACGACTAAAGCTGCAGGTACGGGGACCCGCAGTTGCTACTGTACAGCGACCCTGAGTAAATTGTCCCAGCACCTTCACAGGGAACAACGATAAGCTGTCAGAGGGCACGCACAGAAAACACTGGCGGTCCCAGGGGGGGGCCACGGGGGCCATGGCCCCCCCTTTGGTGCTGAAAGGTGGGGCCATACTATCTTTTGGCCCCACCTTTCAGATCGAACAAAAGTCCTAGAAAAGCTTTTTGTATGTTTCATTTTCTTTCTTGCGCCATCAAAGGACGTAAATTTCACTCATGAGTGGGCTCAGTTTCGTATTCTGTCAATTTGGCGGTCAGCGTCGCTGGCACCGGTTCACGAGTATGGCCGCATCTTACATGGAATATCAGCGTGGGTTTACTTGAGGCTCTCGTAGGCCCAGCAATGGCTGGCATGAGACCTCTTCGGCAGTGGCGGGTGGGCCCTGCCAAAGGAGCGTGGCTCTAAGACACTAAAGTAAGACCTCATGGGTTGGTGCTGTGCACCTCAGAAGCCCGGTGGTGACGCCGTATGCCGGCTTGGTTTCTTAAGGATTAGCGTGGGATCTCCGGGGCCTGCATAGAGTTTGCATTAGCTAGTATGTAATTTCAGAGGCCTGTATGTAATGTGTACACAGTGGCGGTCGCGGGGGGCATCAGGGCCATGCCCTCCCAAGGCACATAAAGGGGGCCATCATATCATTTGCCCCCCCCCCCTCAAGCAACCGATGGGCCCCCATAGGTGTATGGGACCCTGGCCCTGATTCGATCGTCACGAGGCTAAAAAAACACGCCCACACCGGTCTTTGAGCGTCCAACACTGACCTCTGAGGGAACTCCAGTGGCGGTCAAGCGCCCACGTTGACCGCTAAGAGCCCACATCGACCTCTGAGGCCCCACATCTGACCTATGAGGACCCCTTACCGGCCTCAGGGGCCCCAACCGGCGTCTGAGGGTCTCACACCGGTCTCTAGTGGCCTTATTGCTGTCTCTGGTGTCCCAAGACGAACATTTAGGTGCCAATGAGGGCCCCGCATTGGCTGCTGAAGACCCGATGCTGGCCTCTAAGGGCCTGCATTGGCCTCTGAGGAGGGCTCATCTTGGCCTTTGAGGGCCCTCTGCTGGCCTCTGGGTTCCAGCGACGGCTCATTCCGGTCTTTTAGGGCCCCACGCTGACCTCTGAGGGCCCCATGTTGGCCTGTAATGAGTAGGACCCACATAAGCCTCCGAGAGCCCAACTCGGTCTCTGATGGTCTCAAACTACTGGCCTTTGCAGTTTGCAGGCCCTGTACTGGTCTCTGAGGGCCCTAAACTGGCCTCTAAGTGAAAACATACATGGGTGGGCTTCTGAAGATCACAGGGCTCACGCAGACTCCTGCACAGCCGTACGTTGGTCCTGATCGAGATTACTTTACGTCCTGATGGTCCCGCGCAGATCTCATATTTCGACGTCGGGACCCCATGAGCCGGTGTGGGTCCCATGGGGCTGGCAGAGACTGATGAAGTCCTTAGGGCTCAGGGCCCAGTCTTTTTAGCAGTAGGACTATAAGGCAGGTTGAGTGAGCCCCAATAGAGCCGTTGCGAGGTCCCGCGCGAGTCGTGTGCGGCCCTCAGATGCCAATTTTGAAAACCAGGAACCTGTGGGGCCGGGGGTCTCCAGAGGTCGGTGTACCTATTCTCTCCCGCCGCCAAACAGCTATATGGGTAAATGTCATAGTCTGAAAATGATCTCTGGGTTTCACATGCTTGTTCAAAGCAAGAGGTATCCGTACCTTTCCGAATTGTTTTATTGTGGTAAGGTCATGAATCCGCGTGCCCGACCTTCCAGTATATGCCACACCGATCCGTCGCCATGGTGCAGTGGCCCGACCGGTGGAAACACCGTGGGACGGGAAATGGAACTGGTGTTTTTGCCTTAAATTGAGCTTAAAGATTTCACGCAAGAATGAGGTGGATGAAGCATAAGTAATGCCAACTGCGCGGCGCCTCGTGGACGTAAAAAATTAGCCGATCACCCCCCCCCCCCCCGGTGACTGATAAATGTTATGTCCCACGAGTGTGACTTTGGCCCCCCCTTTTGCGAGCGGCTGCGACCGCCAGTGACAGAAAACCTCAGCTGCTGTTGTACAGGGACCGGCAGTCGATATCAATGTTATCGGTTGTTACTGGACAGGACAGACGGCTAGAGTTGGGGTTCGTGTACAGAAGCAACTGCGGCCTGCGGGTCCCCGTACCTAAAGGTATATGAATGATATTCCCATCACATCCCACGAGCCACGAGGAAAATGTGTTTGATCCAGAATTTACGGATCTATGTACATAGTATCAAGTCCAGAACAGTGGTAGGCTTAGGTATATGTTTGGTGTGTAGTTAGGCTATGATCATATAAATCCGCGGGCTTACGTATGCACGCGTGCATACATCGAGGCGATTACAGATAAACCATATTTAATGCAATTAAATATTTGAATCTTCCTCTTGCTGCATCTTATTCGCCATCCTCTATGCCTCCTGCATTCAGTCCACGTCTTGTGTAACAAGCCCATCAGTGTACCCCACAGCTGTTGCATCCTGACCTGCCCGTCTACCACGTGATCCCTGGCGCCGCTCTGTGGTCCTCCCGTCGGCTGGACTCGGCCTGTTGCCCGTCCTCCCCTCTCCGTCCGTCGGCCTGTCCTGCCAGACGGGGCTGGGGCAGCCGTCCCGCCGCCGGGCTGTCAGCTGAGACCGCCGCCGGCTAAAAGCTTTCGGCCGGCATCGTCCGGCCGGCGCAGTGGGATGGCGGGCCGCGGCCGGCGCGCTCGGCTGCCCGCTTTGTCCCGCCGCGTGCCGGCTCCTCTATCACCGCAGTCTCCGGTGGGGTGCGGCCGCCCCAGCGCGGCGGGCCATCACCACTGTCGGTCCTAGCGAGGAGTTCAGAGGTCACGTATCTCAAACTACAGACCATTTAACGGGTAATTCTTGAATGCATGAGCAACGACGTCGGTATTTCACAGTGACTCGCGCTGGACTGGGAGTTTTTGGTCTTCCTTGCGCCTTGAACGACGAACAACGAACGCCTACTTCTGCTCTTTTTCTATATATGGACATGCGGCGAGGAGCAGCAGGCGCAGGCGGAGTTCATATTTCTAAGATGCATGCAAGGCTCGTGTTTCCTTGCAAGGCATGCAAGGCACCTTTTCCTTTTCAATTGTCCGAGCTTCAGTTCGAGCTTTATGCCTAAAACGTGAAAATTAATACTTAAAGGAAACTTAAATGTCTGAAATACTTTTTAATGCGCAACCAGGGCTGCGTGTTCGATTGATTTTCGGTGACTCGGGCTTTAACTCCGACCCCGGCTTCCTAAAATCGACTCCGACTCCGACTCCGGCAAAAATGTCGACCCCGACGGACTCCGACTCAGATTTTGACTCCGGAACCAACTCCGACTCCGACTCCGCAGTTCTGCGTAAAACTATGATATTGGGAGTGTCATTGTGCTGCTAGTCACGTCGTTACTGTCTAATGATGTAATACGAAACCTGTGTACCGTCTCGTGCGGCTGCCGTCCGAGGTCCCTGCGACCTTTGGCTCCCCGTGGACGCCGCTCCGCCCTATATGTCGTCTCGAGACTCACCCATTGACGGAATCTGGGGCCTGCCATCCTACGTTAATCCCGCACGTCTCGTGTGCTCGCCTCTGGCGCTCTTTTTCGACGTTGGCGCGCCATCGCGTGATCTCTCAGCTGTCAGCGGATAATGAGCCGTCCTCGGCCGAGAAAGCCGACTGTGAATTCCCGCCCCGCGGCAAACTTATTGCACGCTCCTGTGTCACGGTCGGATGGAGGAGAGACGGACTGCGGAGCCCTGGAAACGCCCTGCTGTTTGTCGGTGTGTTTGGTTGCTGTGTATGCCTTATGCAGCTTTGTTAGGTTCTTTCCCTGTGCTCATAAGCGGGATACAAGTACGAATGAGTGTAGCAAATGCGCTTGATTTGCAATGCAAATAAGTGCAATCTTACAACAGAAATTGATCGTCTTTCTCATAACCTTCCGTTCTCGGCAGGACGGCGTCTCGCCGGCGGCGCTCCGAGTCGAGCTCGCAGAAGTGCGCCGGCTGCTACCGTCGGCGCGGCTTTCCAGGCGGCGACGCGCACCTGACCGACCACCCGCCGCTGCTGCCGGCCTACAGTCCCGGCAACGGCACCGCCTTCACCGCCGCCAGCGCCGCCTACAGCAAGCCGGAGGCCGTCCGGCTGGCCGTCGACACGCTTCCCGGCGCGCCGCCGCCGGCCGCCGAGCCGGCGCCCGCCAGCGACGCCAGCGACTCGGCCGGCTCGCCGGCGCACCAGCTGCTGCGCGAGCTGGGCCGGCCGCGGGGCCGGCGGGGCGCCGTGCGCGGCCGGCCGGCCGCCGCGCCGCTGCAGGAGGAGGTGGGCCGCGCGCTGCGCCACCTGCTCAGCCGCCAGCAGGCCGAGGAGCACTGCGGCCGCGCCGCCGACGAGTGGCGCCAGGTGGCGCTGCTGGCCGACCACACCCTCTTCTGGGTGTTCCTGGTTATCACCACCGTGTCCAGCCTCCTGTTCCTGGTCGTGCTTCCCGTCTACAAGCGCAGCCAGTATCAGCGGCCCGACTGAGCGGCCGACGGAGACTCGCAGAACGGACATTGACCTGCAGACTGAGGTCTGCAGCGATCGTGAGATAGCAGTCGACATCGGCGAGAGGAGGTGTAAAAACACGCGATGAAGAAACAAAGTCACTCATTGCCATTTTGTAAGACGTACGGCATCCCGGTTGTTTGACATAAGACGACGTTGTCCCGTGGCCGAATGGAATAGTGGCTCATTTCCATTTTGTCGCATTAGAACCGAATGGAGAATGAGAAATGTGCTGCCTACCAGCCAGCCAGTGGTTGTCATTGCTGACAATGACATCAGTGTTTGTGAACGCGGTGATGCCTGCCCTGCCGAGTGACCAATGATGCTGAGGGACTGGTGTCACCAGTGACGTTGAGAAGTTGGTGGCAGTGACTTGCTGGGTAACGATTACCCTGAGGGACTGGTAATGCCGGTGAACCTAGTCCTATAGATCGTTAAAGTCAGCGACCTGAGGTGACGCCGGCGACCTGAGAGATTGGTAAAGTCGGTGAGCTCGAGTGACTTGTAACGCCGGCGATCTGAGGAACTGGGAACAATGACTCTAAGGGACTCCAGGCCGGTGACCCGAGGGACTGGTGACGCTGGCGATCTTGAGGGACCGGTGACCGATGTGCGCAGTAGAGGCTGAGAGTGTGTTCGGAGATGGTGGTGGGATGGATGTGCTATGGCTAGTGGTTCTGCAGGAGCTCATTGAATGCAGACGGTGGTATAGTCGAGGAGTGAGAGAGAGGTCATGCGTCATTAACTCATGGGAACTTATTTTTGTTTGCTCGGCTCTCCTTCATGGTGATAAGCGCACGCCGTGAAAGGGACGGCAAACAACTATAGCCGTGGCTGGGCTTTTAGTTTAGAGACATCGCATCGCGTTCGCCGACTAGCGTACAGGGAAAGATTCTGAAACGTTACCGAAGGACACTAACGCATACGAACAAGGATAACATTTGTGCTATAGGATCCGCTGCCAAAAACAAGTTTATTAGGCATCCAGCTGGTAAACATGCAGGTACGATTCTATTGGCCGTGGCTCGTGTGCGATAATTTTCTGAGACTGACATTGGAAAATGTCCGTTGTGTTTTGAGTGACGTTTGCTGAATTGTAAATGTATTGTTCGTTGTCTTGGTTGTAGTAAGTTACGTCAGGTCATCTGACATCTAGTCATCTCGCATCGTCTATGAAATATTATTTGCTATTCTATAATAGTAACGATGTTGATAATAAAACGTTCAAACAATTTAAGTACAGGGAATGTTATGAACAATCAGCGCTATGGTCTGGATATTAACCCTCGCCGGCCGACGGGGGGGGGGGCTTGTGCCTCCCCCATAAGGTTTTTTTCGCGATAGCTCCGAACACGCTGACGATAGAGAGCTGAAACTTAGCATACCTGACCTTTGATTCAAGCCGGATTTTTCACATCAACCGCATTTTCCAGTCAGGTCAGGTCACTGACCTATGACGTCATAAGTGAACCTCTGCACGGTCTTCAGATGTCGCAACTTCGCAACGCCCTCACTGCCAGAGGAGATGTCACAGGGAAATGAAACTTGCAGGATCTGGTATCCATTACGAGTCTCACAACTTGTATACCTCGGATTTTTCGTAAACGTCATATGAGGTCAGGTCATTTTCGTGACCTCACCATTATAAGTCAATAAGGAAAAATAAAAACTGCTATTCTGGCACCGGCAACGATCTCTAACTATCTTAAGCACACCGAATCGTGATTTGATGCACTCCTTGCAAGGTTAGATGCGTCATTTTTTCAATGTTGACCTTGCGTGACGTCATTTATGACGTCATCAAGGTCATATTAGTTTTTCGTCAATAACTCCCGATCGAATTGAGCTAGCGAGTCGAAAAAGCCACCAATGGACTCAGGAAGACCAGCCGAATCGAACGATATGCGACATGACCTCTTTCGACCAGCTTCGTGACCTGGGGGCGCTGACCTGACCGTGACCTGAGGTCAACACCCTAAGTTGATCTGACCCAAACAAAAACTATATCATTCGACGCGCCTGAGCGAGGCGAACACGATGCTGCCAAAATCGCGGCTCTGCGGCCGTTTTTTGCGAAGTTATTCACCAAAAACTGAACCGTACCTTGGGGCATTTGACCTGACCTCAGAGGTCACCGGTTGACCGAGGACCTTAAAATCGGGTACCAATCTCTGTGTCTCGTAACGGCCCACACGCTCGTTTTTTTTTTTTCGCGACGCGCTAGCTCCACCAGGAGCGAAACGGCAAGGGGGTCGTACCCCCCCCCCCCCGCCCCTCGGCCGGCGCGTATGTAGAAAACCAATAGGTCCGGCTAGGGTCAAACGTTAAATTTTACGGCCTTGACCCATACAAACAACCGCAAGGACTTATACCTAGCATAGGTGGCGGAACGGGGAGGGCACCGGACACCGTGCCCCCTTTGATTTTGGCATTTTAACATTAGCCCAATAATGGGCGTTGCATGTAAAGAATGAGACCAAAAGTCGGCAGTGCACCCCCCTTAATTGAAGGTGTTCCGCCGCTACTGATACCTAGATTACCTTACTTTGGGGGAGGGGAGGGGGTAGGCCCTAGAGATGTCAATCGGATACCAACTTTTTGGTATACCGATACCAAACCCATACCAACTTGGTATTTGATATTTCAATCGTAATGTGTTTGGTATTTTGTTGGTAGGTATCATAAACCCTCACTAATGTATAAGAGGCTAAGAAATCGGTAAAAAGTGGGTATTTCCCTCATTTTCCCAAGTTGGTTTGGTTTCGGTATTTTCCCGTGGTTTTGGTTGGTATTTGGTTTGGTATCGGTATTCCGATTTTCCGTAATTGACATCACTAGTAGGCCCTTTCGGTCTGACGAGACCTTTTCAGAGCCAGAAGGATAAGAGAAATGGGGGGGGGGGGCATTGGTCTGAGCAGAAACCCTTGTGGAGTCGCCGGGTTGAGCCCATCCAAAAGTACGGGCTGCCCCCCCCCCCCAAAGCACTCAGTGCACCCGCGCTTCGGGTGTGCTCCGATGGAGGCTTGTTTGTTTGTTTGCTTGTTTGTTTTGTTGGGTTAGGCCCTTTCGGTCCAATGAGACCATTTCAGAGCCGGGAGGATGATAGGATATAGGGGGAGACATTGGTCTGGGCAGGCACCCTAGTTAGTGAGTCGCCGGGGCTGAGCCCGTCCAGAGGACAGGCCACCCAGTCCCAAGGCGCTCACTGCACCTGGCTACGGGGTGCGCTCCCTCGGGAGCAGCGGTGCCGCTCCAAGGGAGCAGCCCGCATGAGATAAAGTTGCCTGTCCAGCCCGGAGGGAGGTTGCGGCGTGGAGAAGGATTTCAGTATCCTGAGGATAGAAGCACGGAACGGTGCCGATGGAGACATGGAGCTACCATTTATATACCTACACTCTGGACTGCAGCTACCCACATGGCGGGAGAAAGTTGCCCTTCCAGCCCGGATCAGGGTGTTGAGGCGTGGAGACGAAGGATTTGACCGTCCTGGGGATGAAAATAACGGAGCGCTGTCTTTACATCTAACGGTAGGTATATAAGGTCTTGCATGTAACATGCGTCTGTCTTTATACACAAGACTACTTTTCTACGGGGCATTCCACGTCAAATCGAACAAAAATCGGCTGTTTTGCACCTTACCACCAGCGATTTAATTATAAATTTGTGAGCGAGTTCCTGTGTCGCCCCGGACATTACATTGATGTTTTTTGCACATTCTGACCACAGGTCTTCTAAACTCGTATAGGGCATCAAATTTTTACAAAATGTTGCATCTTTATATTTTTGAACGACCATAACTTTGGTTGTACTTGTTTGATTTGAATGAAATAAACCTTACTGTTTAGGTAATTTCTTAAGCATTTGTTTAGAATTGCATCGACTTAAATATATGACCTTGAAATTTGCTTAACTCTGTTCTTAAGCACAAAAATTGAAATAGCAAAAAACACGCCGCCTTTGATTTGGCTCATTTTCATATATTTTATTGCCTACCGTATTCTTAACAACATGTGAAAAAATTAGAGTGGGCCATTCATAAGTTTTGAAGAAAATGGCACATATGCAAACGTATGTTAGCACGCGCAGTGGAGGGGGAAGAGTGAATTTCGCCCCACCCCTCCTGTTTTTCGCCAATATCTCACAATATTGATGCGAAATTACTTATGGCTACCTGTCCAGAATTGAATTGCACATCTCATCGTGCAAGCAATAAGAAAATCGGTTCACAACTGTTCTAGTAATAGCGGTGTAAAGTGAACATCCTGTCGCCGCGGCGACGCGGCGACTCGGCAGCCGGCGCCGACGGCTACGCGCCGCCTGAATTGTAGACTGTGCCGGGACGGAACGGAACGGTTCCGTCTTCACATCGCGCTCCTTACCGCTGATTACGTTCGATTCGCGTCAAATTTTGTGAGAAGACTAAGAAATGTACAGGCGATCTTATGGTGAAAGAATTCTGAAAATAGGTTGGTAAACAATTGATTCGGAAAAGTCGGACCGGTGCGGTGTCGACGCCCCTGAATATGAACGTGTAAACACAAAATTGTGACTGCTGCGTTTCCCGCGTCGGCCGATCCCGCCTCAGCCGGCGACATGTTACTCTTAGCAGGACTCTAACTGCCATATTTATTATCGGATTTACTAGAAATTCCCCATACATACTCAAAAATGTATGTTCTTTCGTATAGTGAAGATCAAAAGACGTGAAGATATCGTTGCGTGATAATGTTTTCGTTGAATTTATTTCATGATGCATTTCCACACGGCTCAAAATTCACCGCAAAATACCGTTTGCCTGAGACACTTTTACAATGGAACGTGAATGCTTGACTACGATGACTATGCATTTCCATTCTCGCAGAGTTTGGGATATCACTAATCAGCAATCATTCATTTCAGAAAGTGTACACAAGCAAGCATGTCTTGACTGTCTTTCAAGGTCACGCGCGGTTGCGTGATGTTGATGCATGAAAACGGCGTTTGCCGCGAAAGTTATGAATGGCCCACTCCAATTTTTTCACAGATGGTTAGGAACATTATGACGGACATAATATGTAAAAATTACTCAAATCGAAGGTGGCGTGTTTTTTGCTACTTAAATTTTTCTGTTTTAATTCAAGGTCAAATGCATTTCAAGGTCACTTCAATTTAATTTTATAATTAAAAATCAAAGCCTTATCAATTGCCTACAAGACCCTGTTAATCATTTTGATACCAGAAAAGGAACCAGAGTTATAAGCGTTTAAAAAAATGATGTGTGGCATTTTTGGCTATATTCGATGACCTATATCTCGGCGATACGTTATCAAATTTCCGGTCCCGTAGCTCAGTTGGTTAGAGCGTTGGACTCCGCGTGGTGAGAGCACGCGTTCCCGGTTATGACAGTCCGGGTTCGAAGCGCGACGGGCGCTCGACATTTATGGGCCTCCTGACAGGTATGGTTGCGGTTGGTGGCAGGCCGTAGCCAGGCGAAGTCAGCGAGGGGACCGGCCGTGCGCGGCTTTGTGCGCACGTTAACCCTCGCATGTGTAGGGGGGGGGGTCGGATGGACCCCCCATGGTTTTTCGCGAATAACTCGCGTAAAAAGCGACCGATTGCGACGAAACTTTCAGTACCCTCTCATTGATCAATTTTACACCTACCCTGAAAATTTCATGACCCTGACCCAAATGACCTTTGACCTGTGACCTCTTTTCCGAGACCATGTTTGGCCGGAATCGCGATTCCGCGTATGTCGGCTCGCATTAGCCGCGCGTTTGCAAGCTTTTCGTGGTTTCAACCGTTCAAACATGTGATTTGATGTTGCTCCCATGCATTAGAATGGGTGTCAAGGTCACCTGAAGGTCAGGTCAGGTCATTGACCTTTGGTGACCTCGGGTGACCTCGGCTCTCTCTTTCGAGTTTTACATGTTTCTAGGCTAGTTTTTGGAGCTGAATTCGAATTTAGCAACCATTTGAACATTTACGGAGTAGTTTTGGTGCCTTCGTAACATGTTACGAAGCTGTCAGAGGCGGTTGACACGTACTACGAATACCCGTCACAACCCCTACTGGTTGACCTGACCTGACCTGACCCGACCTGGCCTAAATGCTTAAAGACATCATCTGTGATCAAAACTAACACGATATTCGTGATCAGCACCCCGAAAAACCCCTCAGCAGCCACAATTTACGACTTTCTAATAGGTCCCGATTTTCCCGACTTTGGGTCATTGACCTGACCTGGAAGGTCAACCA